ACTTGWRARMASAKTTGATACGACAAATAACATGCGTTTGGCGGGAATCAAATGGATCTTAAATATTAATTTGAGAGAGTTGGCTGGGTGGTTAGCTAGGATACTAGACTTGTAATCCGGCTGTTAGGACCAGGTAGATGCCTTCGCCATGCCACCATACCATCCAGTGGGTTTGTTCTCCGTGGCCTGAATTTGACTCCCTGCCAGGGAACCGGGTTTCAGTTTGTAAATACATATGTTTTTACCTAGACTATGCTCACCACTGACAAGTGGTCTATGGAGAAATTGAATCGTCAATCGGTATGTTTTACAGGTTATTATTTCGTAGTATGGCTCATGCTTGGAGATTTTGGCTTTTCAACAACTTATCTTGATAAGCAAGAAGTGGAATACCAAGGTATAGCTGAGGACGTCGTGGAGGAGGTATGAGATACTTGCGTTATTTTTTTTTAATAGGCTATAAATCCGGTCTCGTGAGTTTGAAAAATGGAGGGCCATTTGCAAGGTTATTTTCTCTTTTCGACAGTTTCCTCATATTTCCTTAAATTTCGAATGAAAGTAACTTATGAAATGAAAATATAACGCCTGCAACTTTCGAACGGGTTTTGTTTTTTAAGGCCAATTTTTCCATTAATGGAGAACTGGAAAATAAAAAATAAATAACTAATTAAGATATATTAAAAAAAAGGAAATCCTTGGTAATGCTTGCTAAGTAAACATTTCCAGTTTGCATTTCCTTCTTAGCTAATGGTTTGTTTCCTTTTTCCTCGTAGGTGAAATCTACCCTGAAAAGAAAACCTGGTTTCTTGTCCGCTAGTCTGCTACAGTTTAGGTTGGTTTATTGGTGGCTGTTGACTTATTTAAGTGGCTAGATGTCTTTGAAATCCTTTTCAAAGTCCTGAAATTTTATCTTCGGCCTCCTCCCGAGATTAGTGAGGGACTAGGACCAGGATTCACAAACTTCAGCTTTACAGACCGACTATTCCTTTCATATTTAGACCTTGTTCCAAACATACTCCCTTTTTTATTTTTTCTCCTGAAGTCGTTTGACATTCTAGAACAAGGTAACATTTCATTGTACTTCGAAAGTTACTTAAATGTTTTGGTATAAATTGTATAAACATTCGTTGGGATATCCACCTGATACAGTCTGGTTTCTTGGAAGGTCCTCATATTTGAGTTTTTTTCTTAGCCCACAGACTTCCGGCGCTGAGATCAAGCTCAAAGCAGAGTTGAAGATCGAATGCATTGAAGCCAGTGTACACGATATAACAGCTGCTCTGAAAAGTTACATGCAATCTAGCGAGGGGCTGTTCGACAGGGATTACCTCAAACTGCAATACCCTTGTAGGTCAAAACTCAATACTTATGTATGGCTTGATCATGAATGCCAATTAATTTTACTATCTCTTAACTGTGCTTTGGATGCTCAGAAGAGACATTTGATCATCATTTCCACTGACATTCCGCGTATGGGTGGTCTTACATTACAGTTGTAAAAATGGTGCATTCTTAATTTCGATTAAAATCAAAATTTTGAAAATATGAACGAAGTCAACCATCACCATTCTTTCTTATGTTTTATTGTTTTCGGCAGTGGATTATCAGTGTCGACCTCCTGACGTACACATTCATCTAAAAAAAACGCACAAAAACGCAGCAAGGATAACAGCAGTTGACATGTATGTAATCATTGGAGAAGTGACTGCTCACTGCAACACATCGTCTTCGATGCTGCTGTCTTGGGAAAGAAGCGAGGTGAATAAAGAAAGCGGAGCATTCGCCGTGGGTCCACCCTTGGATAAATTTAGAGGCTCTAAGAACCTTACTATTGAACCAAGGACGCTGCCTCCCGGCTTATACTACATCAGACTAATTGCTGAAATGACTAAGGAGGAAGGTGCTATCGATTCTGATTTTGGTTTTCTAGAAGTGGTGTTACCAGAGATTGTTGCTAAGATTCTTGGGGTAAACAAAGCAGTTAAGGGTACTGGTAAAATTGTTCTAGACGCATCACATTCATATGACCCTTACGAAATGAATATAAAAGACCAGGGATTGGTCTTTACATGGCTCTGCCGAAGGGAGGAAGAGGACTTTTCGAACATTCAGTCGCTTTCAATCGACCAATCCTATGGTAGGGATAAGGTTCTTGGGGGATGCTTTGGTTATGGTGTCGGAAAGTTGAATACGACAGAACCCACGATCGAGATCGATATCAATGGAATGATTTCGCAGAGTACTTATGTTTTCAAGGTTATTGTTCAGAAAGGTAACAGGAGTTCCTCTGCTAACCATACCCTATTGGTAGAGTCGTCTATTTCCTTTACTATCAGGTGAGTTATTTAAAGGTGTATCTGTTCATTGAGAATGCTTCCAACAGTGACGTAAGGGCGTTCATGCTTTGAACGAGAGACCGTTGATTAGTCTGACACATCGAGCTAACGCAGAGGAGCTTCAGGTAGATCCCAGGAAACGAAAGTCATCCTAAGAAGTATATTGCAGGCAGAATTAGATTGCAAGGTGCGATGCGATGATGTTAAATCTTAGATATTCATATTATCAGGTGTAAAATAAACTGCGGGGATAGAGTCACCGCCAATAAGCGAATGGTGATCGAGTCCACATGCAGAGGGCTCTCCTGCAGAACAATCAAGTCTTATAACTGGACACTTTACATGATTTATCCGTGGAGCGTTAATGAAACGTGGAAGGAGCAAAACTTGGAGGATAAGATACTCACCGAGATAGACAGTCCAAGTCTGATATTCAAAGGCAAATTAAACCAATGGGAGAACTCTTTAATGGATGACGCAACCTACAGGCTAAGAGGCATAGTTCATCTGGCAGATGACACTACGGAAGAAAGCGAGATCGACTTTAAAACCAACTCGGCTCCTTATCTTGATGATTATGACTTAGGCTGCAAAGTGAGTCCTGATGTGGGGCATGCAGTGACCACGGAGTTTTTCATTTCTTGTGATGGGTGGAAAGATGACGACTTACCTCTCAGTTATGAGTTTAGGTAAGTTGAGTCACTTTGGGCACGAAGCTTATGGTTAAAAAAAATTGAGTTTTATCCCTAAGAAACTGTTCATTTCTTGTTACGATCTTGTTTTACAAATATTTTCTTTACGCTTTTTGACGCCTTCTGTTGCTGCGGTTTCAAGGAGCACAACCTGACCAAGCGCTAGTTGTAAGTTCCAGTTCAAGTTCCCTTGAGGAGTTAGTGAGTTTTGACTCCATATAGGTTCTCGTTCAATCTGATTATTGACTGGGAGGTTTACTAATGATGGTGTTTACTTGCATCTGTCAACGTACAACATGACTCAGGTGATTTTCTCTCGCCTCTGTCATTCTCTTTTCTTGCTTTTTTCCCTGTAGCTATCACACAAACACTGGTTCTGTGGTAATGCAGAAAGGACCATCACCGAATGCAACCACGAGACTGCCTCTAGGGAATCCACTGCACCAATACGCGATAGCACTGGAAATACAGATCTTAGACTCACTTGGAGCGAGCACGCTGGATTNGAAAGCGCCTCGAATTTTGCTCATCCCTGTGGCATGAAGCGTTTAGACATATATTGCCCCCCCGATGGAAAGTCAGTCTACCGCAGGCTATCCCCCCCCCACTTCAGGAATAAAGTATTTGTTAATAAGGTGGTCGGTAGGCGAAGACTTCCCGTTGCTGTAATCAAACTCCGCACATTTTCAGTTTGTATCATGAATCTATTAAGCAGGACCACTCTACGTTGCAGGTTGAAGCAATGCCCTCCGATGATGTTTCTGGAACGTTGATGAATATGGCCAGTGGGGAAGAAAGCCCTTTGGGAAATCTCCTCAAGTCAGGGAATGTCGATAAAGCCGCCATAATGGCATACGCTGTATTGTCCATGGTAGACACAAGCGAGGGAAAGATGACGAGCGCTGAAAAGAAGTCTGTAAGTTAACTGTACAATTGTGAGACTCACCGTTGGTAACATGGCCCTTTCCGCACAAAACACATCTCAGTGAATGCACGAGAATTCTTCTTTGCACCTCTCAAGCCTTTGAAAATAGAGGATTCGCGCTTTTATGGTATAGGGAATTTTTGCCGAAAGTAGATTTGAAAAAGTTGCAAATTGTGGTTGTTAGGTACACAAACAACAGACGTCTTTCGATATACATGTATCACTGAAGTACTGTTCCAATGCAGTAGACGCGATTAATTTGATGGTTTCTTTCAAGTTCCATTTAATTCAAATACTCCAAGTTTTATAATCTCCTCCTGTTCACATTTCATAGATACGTTTGTCTTCTGAGTTCTTTTTTTCCTGCCAGGTTATTTTCATCTTAGAGTTCTTCATACTCGGCACGACTTCGTCCAATTATATTGTTGTCACTTCAGTCACGTGCGTACTTAAGCACTCAGTCTCTTCTTTCTGTACCTGCTTCTGATTTTCTGACGAATGTTTCCCACAGAAACTTATCAAGGTTCTCCTTCCTCTCTGTTTTAGGCTTACGTTAGAACTGACTGCCATCTCCAGAACTAAACTCGTTATAACAGTGGTCCATCTAGTATTGTAAATTTTAATTTTTTCATTAACTTTACAAGATCTCATTTGCCTTTTCTTAACGCTTAAAAGAGATCTGGGTCGGTAGCATATTCGTATACATTGGTCAAGTTGCATCAGCTTTTATTTTAACCTCCTTTAAAGTTGTTACACACTAGGTTTTTAGCACTCAGATAGCTGAATCAAAGAAAACTAAAACAAGCTGCAGAAAGGAGCGAAGAAGCCAAACTAGTGTTTGCCTCTATTTCTGAATTCATCGCCATTCCTGACTTCATCAGTCTATTACTCTGTGTTTGTCCATCTTTTGGTTGTTCCCCTCCCCCCTTCCTTAATATTCCCAGTACTTGGTCCACAGTTGAAATGGGAAATAGAAACAATGTATTTTAAGATACCAAACACACACTCCTACAATGTTCACGTAATTTACCCTTTTGAAAACCACACAGTTATTTTAAACGCTTTTCACACTGAGCCCAGGCATACCAACACTGCTAGAAAACCCTAAGCTCCGGGATCCTGGCGTTTAAACTGTGAACGAACTTTCATGCCAACTTCGCAATTAAAAGGTATGAGGTCACTTTTCGGTAAACCATAGCACAGTGAAAACTGAAAAGACTATATCAAAGGAAGGCTTCTCCAATCCTAAGTTGTGAGGTGTTACATTATGCATGGACCCATATTGAAGTTTCATTCAGCGGGAAAATCTGGTAAAACTATTGAAACTCACTCACGCGATATTGCAGGACTTCATGAGTACTTTTGTAACAGATAAAAATAGAATAGAGAAACGTCAATTTTGAAAGCTTTGCATAGCATATCTGAGGACGGAAAAGCCGACAAACTATTTTTTTAAGAGTTAAGCGTATGAAGGCTAATTAGTTAAAAAAAAAACTCATCAAAGTGCTAAACAATTCAAATAAGGAAGCAAGTGACATCAATGTTCCTTATTTCTCGAGTTGATTTTGCCCAATACCAACAGGTAATAAGACATTGGACTTAATGGCACTTGTGAAGCCTTAGCCTACAATTAGTTACCCTTTGTGTGAAGTCTTGTTTCCCTATCCTTTTTTCTTTCTTCATGCTCAGCGCTGTATTAATTTCTTTGATCTGTGTGGCCAAAACTCCTGCTTGTGGTGCTGGACCTTACTAGCTATTTACAATGGACAACCCCTCATGTTTTTGGATGAATGTGTGCCCGTGTCCAACAGCCATCTTTTCATCACGATTTCTCCTCCTTAAGATTTCCATAAGTGTTTTTGGAAAGAGAAAAGTCGCCACCCAAAATTGTCTTCCCTTTTGCCTGGATCGAAGAATCTTTAAAACTCTGAAATAGCTTTTCTTGAATACTGATCAGCAAAGCTGAGATTGATTCTTGTTCTGATTAAATTAAACGTGAGCACAGTTGACTAAAAATGAAATACCGCCAAAGTCGTTAATTTAATCGTTAAATTTAATCGTTCTGATTAAATTAAACGTGACCATAGTTGACTAAAAATGAAATACCGCCAAAGTCGTTAAATAAGCAAAGATGGACAAAATATATGCTGAGGGAGGAAGGGTGGAAAAAGAAAGCAAGAATGGCTTGAGGGAAGTAAAGAGTGATTCTTTAATTTCTTTGATATTTGTATTTACGCTGCGAGAGCTACAGCTCAAGTTTTCTACTTTTAAAAGGCTTTAAGCCGTAGTGATCGCACTAGATGCAAGGCACTGTATCGCACGAAAGTAACTATCACTTCAAACGTTATCATAAGAGACACGAGCGACGCAATTTTTCACACGCACGGTATACACTCACTAAATGTCAACACTTCGAGGGAGCACTGCACTACCATTATCAATCATTTTCGACAATATTATACATCCTTTTAACACACAGGCCATTCTGGTAAGAACGGTTTTACGCTCACAGTTTAATGTCACCAAGAACTCGGTCCGTGATGTAAGTACATGGCGACACATATTGACACACGCGTTAATTTGTCTTTTGTTTTCTTTCCGTTCATCTACTTTGTTTACCCGTTTGTTCACATTCTCATCCCGTTTACTTTTTTTTGTTTTTGTTTTTTTAATTTTTTTTCCATTAATCAACCGAAAGGCAATGAAAGCCTTCCTCTGACTGGATGGTATTTAATTCATTACTACAATATTGTGTTCTTTTGTGTTTTGTGTGGTGAAGCTCCTTTTCGACTTATTAAAACATGTTTCTTTTTTTGGTTTTTTGAACAAAACAATTTCTATTGTTTTGTCCATGGTCATTGGACATTTTCTATTGTTTTGTGCAGGGTCATTGGCCGTGATAAGCTGAGTTTTTTTTCAGTGGTTTTGTTTTGAGAATCACCTTTTTGTCATGGGGCTCCCCGACGGCGACTAACATAACTGCAACAAAAACAAAAGCATGTGCGGCTGACCTCGGGAAATTGTATCATCATATTGTCCAAGCTCTTCATGCGAATTTTAGGAGTGACTGAGGATTGGATTTTCGACAAGGAAAGCCTGAGTCTCAATTGCAAAATGCGATTGAAGATTCGTTGGAATTTCATCACGTTTTAAATTGACATTCCAACATTTTGAAATGTCGCAAAAGGACTGAAAATGCAATTTCATGTTACCTGACATCAAATTTTGACTCGAAGTGTGGGTAAGAGTGACAAAATGACCGCAAAACGCTTTTTTATGAGGCTTCTCTTACAACACAAAACCAATTTTGTGACTTTTCCAGCTAGTTTTAAAGTAAGAACAGTTTTCCAATTCCTTTTCCTTCGCCTTCATTGTCAACTTCGTTTCAAAATAAAAGGATGACCCATTGACCATTTCTAACAATCTTCTTTCGATGCCGACTTATCGATTCAGGAAAATCTACAGTCAAGTTTTCCTTTCGATTAACCAGTCACTGGGTTCTAATGCGATTGAAATAGGGAAGAAGAGTCAATCACATGGGTAACCCAAAGAATCGTCATCTTGGGGACGGAAGTAGCAGTTAAGGATGGCAGGCTCAAAACGGCCCGTAAGCGTCACGGTCACGGAGGAGAAGCCACGAAGATCCACAAGTTGCGGTGTAGCCCAACTCCTTTACGTTTTGCAATAATTAAGTGGCAATTTTTTTTTGTTCACAGTTAAAAGATGCCATAATCGGGCAGATGTCTAATGTTAAAGTTACCAGCCTTGAACAAGTCACGCAGATGGCAGCAGTGGTTGCCCTTGCAACCGAGCAAAAGGACGAAATCTCAACAAATTCTCAGGTTAGGCTCTTGTCTATTACGCACGTCGCAGCAGTCGTGAAATATATACGCTTTCTTTGATGAGTTTATCAAATATAGATAATTTTTCATCAAGCAATCTGTGTTCTATGGGTTCTCCCAAACACAATATAAGTCACCCTCCCTTGTCTCGGGTCTTTATCTACGTAAGTACTTTTTGCTTGAAAGTTTCCATTTTTCCTGGACAGGAGAACGCCGTAAACCTATTAGAGAACACGGCTGACTTCGTTTCCTCTCAGCTAAGTTCTGGTACTGCGGATACTGAGGTTCTTCAAAAGGTCGGCGCTAGTCTTCTACATGGCATCTCCAACGTCATGAGCGCAGCATCCACTGGTGCTAAACAAGAGGAGGGAGATGAAAAGGAAGGTGCAAAAAGTGTTTTAACGGAGGAGACCGCCAAGGAAACAAATAAGGATGAGAAGAAAGATAACAAAGATAAGGTACAATGTTTCGTTTACTGCATGATGCTCGCAATTATTAATTGGGAAGCGCGTGATAGGGAAATGGAGGCAGTATCCTGCCTCGGCGTGATAATAATGACAGTTATTTCGTATGCTGATAAAGTTTCTGACTAGTACACGTCTTTTTCGTGGGAAACGTTTTTGTGTTGTAATTTTTCTTCTCACTGGGGTCTAGACACTCAAGATTTCAATTTAGAAGTGTAAAACAACTCTGTGAGTGAACCACCGATATATACTTCAAGCGATTTGAGAAATATTGTTACATTGGAAATTTATATTGAGATGTGTTTTTGAGATTCTGCTGTTTATCACTTTTTAGAGCAAGAAAACAGCTGAAAAAACTCTCAAATTGATGGATAAAGTCGGTTCGAGCTTGTTAGGCACCAAAGCAGTTGGGGAGAAACCGAGCGTCTTTAAAACCAAGTCTTTAGCAATGATGCTGGATAAGCAGGTACCTTCAAAAATTGGCGGCAAAAAACTTGGCGACGGAGAAGGGGAGAGCGGTGTGGCATTACCTTCGGCTACTACCTTGTTTGGAGACCGTGCTGAAAGTCTTCCCTCCGTAGATTCGCAGGTAATTGATAACTGCTAGGAGAGATATAGGAGTCATATCGGATTCTTGCGTTTCCAGTCCGAATCTACATTTCTTCAAGTAATGCTCTAAAGATTGTAACGTAGGCATAATGATTTTTATTCGGTAACAGTTGAAACCTGCTTTAATCAGAATGTAATTTCAGGAATAAATGATATATCATTCAGTACACGTCGTTTTGGTGGGAAACGTTTTTGTGTTGTAATTTTTCTTCTCACTGGGGTTTAGATTTCAATTTAGAAACGTAAAACCACTCTGTAAGTGCACCACCGATATATACTCCAAGCGTGTATGATCAATCTGTCTTTTAAGGATGGGTTAGTACCTGCCCTTTTTAAGGAGGCGGTTTTATATCCTGTCATCAAAGAGACTCTTTGGACCATGAAAGTTATCAGAACTACAGACCTATCTCAAATCTGCGCTTTGTGTCCAAGGCAACTGAGAAAGTAGTAGCTTTGCGCCTCACTGACCATCTGGACGATAATAATTTGCTTGAAACCTTTCAGTCCGCGTACAAGAATGGACTCAGTACAGAAACAGCTCTTACGCGAATTAATGATGATCTACTAAGGGCGATCGATGAGAATGCTTGTGCCATTCTTGTTCTTTTGGACCTTTCAGCGGCTTTTGACACCGTTGACCATCAAATATTACTCACACGACTTAAGTGTCGCCACGATGTCAAGGGAAATGCACTGGCCTATATGCGCTCTTATCTTTCAAATCGGTTCCAATACGTCAGAGTGGTGAATGATTGTTCATCTAAGCACAAACTGGCCTGTGGTGTTCCACAGGGTTCTGTGTTAGGACCGATTTTGTACTCTATGTACACGGCCCCGATTGCTGATGCCATTAAACGTCACGGTATGAGGTATCATTTCTATACTTATGACAGCAGATATACACGACATTCAACCCCTCAGATGTTTTACAGTCCAAATCACTAAGATGTCCAACTATGGATGGTTGCGAACAAGCTTAAGCTCAACGGGGATAAGACGGAGCTCCTTATCCTGACTGCTCGCCATCGTCCTCACCTCCACTAGATTCGATCAAGATCGGAGCTGACATTATTGAAGCAAGTAAATCTGCCAAGAACATTGGTGTTTGGCTTGATAGTGTGCTTTCTATGGATGAACAAATAAATAACATCTGTAAAACTGCTTTTTTCCATCTTCGAATCGTAGCTAAAATTAGAAAGTTCCTTTCGCATCGTCAATGTGAAATACTTATTCATACCTTTATTTCGTCGAAGTTGGATTATTCTAACGTTCTTCTCTCTGGCCTTCAGCAGTCACAAATTAATAGACTACAACATGTACAAAATTCAGCTGCCCGCCTGCTTACAGCCACCAGCAGATATGATCACGTTACGCCTCTACTTAGAAGCCTACACTGGCTGCCTGTGTCCGCCCCTATTTTAAGATATTTCTTCTCGTTTTTAAAGTATTAAGTGGTCTGATTCCTCTGTATCTTAGTGTACTGTTAAGACCGTACATTCCTTTGTGTCCAAGGCAACTGAGAAAGCAGTAGCTTTGCGCCTCACTGACCATCTGGACGATAATAATTTGCTTGAAACTTTTCAGTCCGCATACAAGAATGGACTCAGTACAGAAACAGCTCTTACGCGAATTAATGATGATCTACTAAGGGCGATCGATGAGAATGCTTGTGTCATTCTTGTTCATTTGGACCTTTCAGCGGCTTTTGACACCGTTGACCATCAAATATTACTCCCACGACTTAAGTGTCGCCACGCTGTCAAGGGAAATGCACTGGCCTGGATGCGCTCTTATCTTTCAAATCGGTTCCAATATGTCAGAGTGGCTCTTAATGGTACCTAATGGCTCTTAATGGCTCTTAATGGTACCTAAATGCAATCTTAAAACATATGGATATAGAGCTTTCTCTCATAGAGCTCCTACTCTGTGGAGCGCCTTGCCATATTAGGCAAGTGGACCTTTTAACAACATTTAAGTCTAAACTTAAAACCCATTTATTTAGGCAGTTGTAGTTTTTGCTTTCATTGATTTTTCACTAGTTTTTTAATTCACTTTAATTCTTAATTGATTATATTTTTTTATCACGGTCATTGTAAAGCGCCGCCCAATCTTTGAGAATCGTTGCGCTATATAAGCTATGTATTGTATTGTATATATCTACAGACACTCGCTGTACAATTACGGGCTCAGGCCTTGTTTTTTGTCATTTATGTAAGGAGGTTTCTTTCTTGTCTAACGGTAGAAACTGAATTTTTCCCAGATGCTTTCCTTCACGGAAAATCCTTATACTTGGGATGCAAGCTCTAACAACATCAAGTCTTCGGTGATTGATTTCTCTTTGAAGGCTGCCGACGGAAGTGCATTAGAAGTGTCTGGTCTTCCGGAACCGGTAGAGCTCTTCATACCTCAGACAGAGGGCAGTGAAAACAAAGGCAACGAGACAGCGGCAGTATATTTTGCCAAACCAAGCGATGGCTTCAACAACTTACGTTTTCATAAGGTGGTGGTTCCATCAGCAAGTTCTTCCATGATCGTCGAAGTGAAACCGGAAGACGGAGTCTCCCTGGAGATCTTCGTCAGGCCCAAAACCAAACCAACAATAACAGAGTACAGTTTCAGTGTGATTCTCCCCAAAATCGAGTTCTGCAACTTGACGAACGCCACCTTAAACTGTAGCTCAGAAGCGTATAGATTCAGCATAAGCAGTGCTCTGACTGATCACGTGGGGTTACATTATGTGGGGATCCGATACCCAAGACCGGAAAGTGACCCTACGTCGTCCTCAAAGGTTGAAGTTCAAATTGTAGCGGAACGTGTTACAAGAGGATGTGAGAGTCACGGCGGCAGGCAAAAGCGGTCTTGCGTTGGTGTTAAGACTCCCCCGACCACCCCTCCCCCGGCAAAACTTCAGATACTGGTACCAAAGTATAACGCAAGTACAGACGTCAATTATACGATGTCCGTACCGGCTACGTCCTGTTTGTATTGGTCTGAAACAAAGCAGACTTGGACAGATGATGGCTGCAAGGTAAGTGTGATCGTAACCATACGAAAAGGAATACAAGATAAACTGAAGTTGAAGTGTTTGTTGCGACAATTGATGTCTAGTAAAATGGTCTATTTCTTCGTTAAATTTGGTGTGAGGGAGTGTGGCTTTTCCCAGGACAAACCAAAAGATAAGTATTTTTTTTTTTAATTTTGATTACTTTCCTATGAATTCTGTGCTTCGTTCCAAATAATCCAAACCAAACCATGAAAACAAAACCAAATAAAAGACTAAAAAATTCCAACTCTTTCTTCTGTCTTTCGTTTTGTTCTGTTTTATGTAGGTGGGACCTAAGACGGTTGCCAGCAATCTTCACTGTCTCTGTACCCATCTATCTGCTTTTGGTGGGGATTTCTTCGTTGCACCGAATCCTATTGATTTTGACTAGGTCTGGGCCGAATTTGGCAATTTGGCGGAAAGTGGAAACTTTGTAGTACTTGTCACAGTTTGTTCCATATTCGGACTTTACTTTGTGGGACTCGTGTTTGCTAGAAAAGCAGACAAAAAAGATGAAAAGAAGGTGAGTTACTCTAAATGCAAAGACTTTCTTAAACCGTTTAACGTAGGTCCTGATCACGCTAAGGGAGTATTTAAGTGGTTCATCAAAACACGACAAATATTCAAGTATAAAACTCATTTTTCAGGTCGTGGCTAATGTGTAATTGACTGATTAAATTGAAGACGGGTATCTCTATGAAATCTCCGTTCAGACCGGAATGTGGAAAGGCTACGGGACAACTGCTAACATTGGCTTGATCATTTTTGGAGAACACGACACCACTCCTCCCTTACCATTGTCGGATCCAGAAATGAATAAAATTTTCTTCGCCCGGGGTAGTATCAACAATTTCACTCTCTCTGTGCCAGAATCACTTGGTAACTTGGTGAAGATTAAGATTTGGCATGACAACAGCGGCAGGAGTCCTGCTTGGTTCTTCCAACAGGTGCAGATCGTCGATGCACAAACCGGCGATAAGTGGCATTTCCTTGGTAATCGCTGGTTGGCTGTTGAAAAAGGGAGCGGTCAGATAGAACTAGAACTTAAAGCAGCCGACAAAAAAGAACTTGCTGGATTTAGAAATTTATTTTATTCGAGGACCGCGCGGAGCCTGGGTGACGGTCATTTGTGGTTGTCAGTTTTCACCAGGCCTCCACATAACACGTTCACTCGTTGCCAGCGTCTTACGTGTTGCTTGTCGATTTTATTCGCTACTCTTGTAACGAACGCCATGTTTTATCAATTTGATAAAGCGCCAGGAGACACCTTCCAAGTTGGGCCATTAAAGTTAAGTTGGATACAGATCAAGATCGGTATACAAAGCAGTATCATGGCCATTCCAGTAAACGTGTTAGTCGTTACGATCTTTAAGAGCATTAAACATCCCCTTCCCGTAGATGCCCGAGGATCCAACAAGAAAGTACCCGGCTGCCTTCCTCATTTTTTCGTGTACGTAGGTTGGACTCTGTGCCTACTCACCTCCTTGGCAGCAGGTGCTTTCACCGTATTTTACAGCTTGATGTGGGGAGCTGAAACATCCAACAAATGGCTCACATCAATCATGATTTCATTCTTTCAAGATGTCATAGTCACGCAGCCAATCAAAGTTGTCTTGATTGCATCTTTACTATCGCTGATCATAAAAAAGTCTCCAGAGCAGGAAGAGGTAATTGGTTCATCTATGTCCAGAAGAAGTGGAAAAGACAGCCAGGTAGCCGCACCTCATGGTGAAGCGCTCAGAAAAGCGCGTGAATTCCAGACTAAAGTGTTGGAAATGTTCAGGACCATCATAGAAATGTTTTTTTTCTTTTTGTTCATCGCTTTTCTAATGGTGGTGTGTTATGGCAATAGAAAACCTACAAGATTCATGCTGACTACAGAGTTGGAAAAGCGGTTCAGCGGATTTGATAAGGTTTGAAATAATTTAAAACCCATAAACAAACCCGTAAACATATGAGCTAGTTTACCTTGAGCGAAAACAGACCTCCAATCTTCCTTTTATTTGAATTTCTTGCCAGGGGTAGTAGACCAAGAGCTGCCAGTGAGACTCTAACGGTCCTCTTAAGTGTTTTCTTGCCTTTTGTGTGGTTGGAAATTATCGCACGCGAATTAACAGCGTTGCTCCATATCAGATATGGGCAATTCCAAAAGAAAAGAAAAAACAGGGAAATAGAGCATCTGGTTGAACATGGGTGTCTTTCGGCGGGCCTTCGGAAGCGCGCTATACTACTATCTATCTAGTGACGCGGTCAAGCAATTTCTGAGTGATTTTAAGCATTGTTTTTGTTTTCCCTTTAGTTGGTTAGCCCGGACACCTTCTGGACATGGACATGAACAATATTAGTCCCAGGACTGTACCATGTGGCGTGGTATAATGGTAACCCGTTTGAGTATGAAGAGGGGTTCATCAGCAGCAGAGAAGCCTTTATGGTGGGGATGCCGCGATTGAGACAAGCTCGCATAAAGCCAGGTGAGAATTGTTAACCATAGGTTGCAGGTCAGGCCTCAGGTTGACTTCACCCTAACGTCCTCTACTTAACCCCGCAATGCTTTGATTAGCTATCTTCCTACACAGTCCATTGCTCGTGCCCTATTCTAGGAGGCTACGCTAACGCCCTCTCTGGCAAACCTGTCTATATCAGTCATATAAGTTATTCTAGGACGCAACATGGCGGCGACGTTTGAGACCATTATTCAAAGGGCTCATTGATATATTCAACGATTCTGTGCTGTTCCGGTTCCTTTTCTTTTTGCGTTTTGTCCCTTTTGCGTCGAAGTTCATCTTTATACATTTGAAGTTGTATCACCACTAATGTCCATATCTTTTTTATACAGACGAAAGATGTGCAATGGAGCTCAACCAACCAGAATTGGCGCACCAGTTCGGTCGTTGCCTTTCTGTGTATGTAGACAAGGTTGCAGACTCTACCCTTTTTAATCAGCCAGGTTGGCTTCCAGTTCGCAACGCCAGTGAAGCTCTCTCGAAGTTTGAGCTGTTCGACATGTGCCCCCGGCCTTGGCGTTATCGCACGGCAGAGAATTTAACGACTCTCTCTATGGAGGGTCTTCAGTCCTCATATGGAGGTGGCGGTTTCGTCGCCGATCTCGGTTACAACGCCAAGTCTGCTCTCGAGGTGTTGGATGACTTGCAGAAAAATAACTGGATAAACGACTTAACAGCAGCAGTCTTCGTTGAATTTACAATTCACGAACCTGCGACCGCCTTATTTAGCGTCGTGAAATACGTGTTTGAGCGTTTGCCAACAGGTGGTTATAACACAGTGAGAAGTATCAAAACGTTGACGTTGTACGCTTCACCTGATTCTGCGTTTGGTCCTTTTTATCAGCTTTGTCAGCTGCTTCTTATGTTGATCATTCTGTTCTTCTTTTTCGCTGAAATCGGTAAAATTTATCGCCAAAAATGTGGATATTTTAAGTTGTTCTGGAACTGGATGGAACTTCTGCAGATCTTTGGTGCAGTTGCCGCTATTGTTATGTTCTTCTTTAAGGAAATGTACACCAGTAGATATGTCAAACGCGTGCAAAATAATCCTTTCGAGACTTCGAGTACTGATTACATCGTACTATGGTCCGAACTTGAAATTTACCTGTTGGCTTTTGTGATTTTTATCGTGACCATGAAATTTCTGAGACTAATTCGGTTCAATCGTCACATTTGCCAAATGATTGCCACCATACAACGCTCTGTTAATCATCTGTTTTCGTTTTTCGTTGTGTTCGTTGCAATCATTCTCGCATATACACAACTCGGATTACTTGTTTTTGGAGCCGCCGTTCCTGCCTACTCCTCCTTCTTTCAAGCTATGCGTGCCGTCTGCCAGATGATCCTCGGGGGCGAGTCTCACTTTCATGAGCTTAAAGCGACCAGTAGGTTCGTTGGACCGCTTTTTGTGTTTTGTTACATGCTGAGCATGTCTATGATCATGTTGAACATGTTCCTTGCTATACTCAATGACTCCTACGAAGAGGTCAAAGATGTACAGGGGGACAGTTTTGAGGACGCGGAGCTCGGTGAGTTCATGAAAACTTACTTTGTGACACGGGTCGGCTACTTTTGTGATGAGTTAACTGCTTACTTCAAGAAAATGATGAACTTTGCGCAAGCAAGGACAAGGCCTTAGATTCATGATGTTGAGAGTTATGTTAAAGTTCCAACTGATTCAGTCGACAGAATCGACAAAGTTGATGACTTTGATATGGGTGATGACAGTGTTAAATTAGCAAAAATCGTTTCAATGGAAGATCTTAGTGACAGTGAAGATGATATATATGAGGCTCTGGAAGATGTAAAGGGTTGTATATCTGATATTAACGAAGAACTGCGACGTTCAATTTCTCACCTTGGGTCCGATTCAATCCTTAAGACTCTCAACAAAGATCTCAAATGCTCGTGCGAGGACAACAATTTCCAATACTTTGGCAACATCTGGGACCGACAGTACGATCCTAATGATCGTTTCCGTAGAAGGAGAACTCCATACACGGAGCCTTTGCTAGCTGAGATTCCAATGGATCATCTCAAGGACCTACATCTGAGTGGCGAGGGTGGAAGTAACAACAATGATAGAAACGGTTATCCATACTTCACAAACATCTGGGATAGACTTATAGATCCAAACGATCGCTTCCGCAGGAGAAGAAGACTGAGAACTCCACATCGACAGTCTCTGTTAGACGATCATTTGCAGGATCAATCAGAGGAAGTAGATCTCGGGGTCGGTGAGGATGGCGATAGTTTTGAGAGAATGAGGCTTGAGGAGCATTCGACGCCTGAGGTAATGTCAAACAGCACTACGAACAGTAATCTGTTAGATGATGTTCAAGAAAGTTTTGTGTGAAGGCCATGATCTCGGCATCTATTTGATTTATCGTTCGATGACAAGCTAAGGCAATATCGACAAAGCCAAAACTCTACCAGAAAGACAGTGTGTAAGAAATTTTCGTGTGAAAGCCATGATCTCGGCATATATTCGATCGAACGTTGACAAGCTAAGGCAGTGTTGACAAAACCAAAACTGAACCAGAAAAAGAGTTTGTTTAGTTATTACAAATGTGTAAAAATCTTATCTTACGTCTATTGGGCTTAAGTACCAATGCGAACCTAAGCGTTCCTACCTTATGAAGCCCTTTAAAACTTCACAGTTAGGAAATTTCTCCAAAATGACGGCCGGAAATTAAAGTAATTGAATATCTTGATACACATTGGTTAGGTGAAATTTCATTAAGTCAGCTGATCTGTCGACAGACAAAACGTAATTTTCAAGTTTATACATGAGGAAATAATACAGTCAAAAGTCTTTTGGGTACGGGGGATTCAAATTTTCAGTGCAGACTATTTTAACCATGTACTCACCACTATCAATATCCCATAATTGACTTATTTCGGTCGCCATTTTAACGAGTATTCTCCCATTGAAGCAATACATGTAAGAAAATAAGAAAAATTTCATTAGAGGACTGGCGGTAAAATTGATGCTTCTAGGAGTAGGAACAACGATTCGTGAATGAAAACTTGAGACAATTTGTTAGAGCTTTTAGAGTGATCATCGATTGAGTGAAGAAAACCAAAGCCATAGTAATCGACACAAAAGGAAGAAAGGCAGGGAGTCGTTCAACAAAGTTAACAAGTCTTGATTGCTTTAGTTTTGCTTCTGATCGGTCGAAAGGATAGCGTGAGTTTTCTAGACCAATCGCAGTAGGCGGTGAAGCAAAATCAGTGCATCCCGGGATTGCTTTCGACACTCAAGTGAAAATTGCTCGAGGAAACTTTAATGTATACAGTAGATCATGTCCACATACCTTTGGTGAACTGCTTCTGCCTTAAAAGAGCTGAAGATACAAAGTGTAACATAAAAAACTCAGTTACTTAGCCTTGGTATCTTTCCTCAGCAGCTAAATTTAAAATAAAAAAAATGTCCTATGTAACAATCAGTAGCCAAAATACAGTGTACTCAAAGGAAATAGGTATTTACTCTACATAAGAAAAAAAACATCGTATCTATATATTGTGGGAGGAAAAAGACAAGTAAACTACAAGTTCATCCCTACAAGCCTGTTTCGTGGTCGCCCACTCATCAGGGGATTTAATGAGAATTAATGAACTCGTGTCTTCATGCCGCCACAGAAGCAAAGCCCTCCTACGCAACAACTAAACTGTCAATTTCGCGCTGCATAAATTAGACTAGTTAGATCATGCAAATTATATTGTATATAAGCAATGGTAAAGTTTATTCTCATTAAATCCCCTGATGAGTGGGCGACCACGAAACAGGCTTGTAGGGATGAACTTGTAGTTTACTTGTCTTTTTCCTCCCACAATATATACTTTGCTCTACTTCTATGTATTGAGCACTGTTCTACGAAAATCAAGTCACACTTTAAATATATATATATATATATCTAAAGGGAACTTATTGCTGGACTCAAGTGATTATTTAGTGGAATAGACTGATTTCTTGTAGATCGCTCGATATTTTGAGAACTATATATACTTTGTTATTATAAAATCCTTTTGATTGTCCATCGGGATGCGTTAAATAAAGTTTACTTTTATACTGTAAAAACGTTCTTGAAAAAAATAAATTTAAACTTACCATTCGTTGTATACTCTTTGAAGAGAAGGGGGATAGAATATCGGCTTTTGCTTTCATGATCAGTTAGAGACTTGAATAAATTGTCAATTTTTTCATCTGTGTGTCCTTTTGTTTTTTAAATTCTCACGATACTTAGGGTTATTTTGAGGTAAAGAACGCATATAAGATTTATGTACCCTGAACGCAGCCCAAAGAGAATGAATTATACTTCCCCCGCGGCCTGGTTGTTTGAAGGCTGGCTTCGAGTGCCAGGTAGCGTCAACCCAAAGTTAAGTTTTAATGTGGATTTCTTCATTCCGTTGTTTAAGAGCTTTTTTGAGACAATTTTTAGTACTCTTATTAGCACATTTATTTCTAGACACAAGGACTTGTATTGGGTTCTCTAAACAGCTTTCCAAGCTGTGATCAATTTGGTCGACATGGCGCGTGAAAAATGCATTTGGCGTCTAAATTTCGACAAGAGTCGCCAATTGGCGACCAAAAAATTAAAAGAAAAGGTGAAAAGGACAAAAAAAGGGAAAAATTCATCGGATTGTGAAACGAACAAACGCCGGTATCTCCTGCCTTTAATTTTTTCTGTCTCACTGTTTTGTATATCTCCCAGATACGCAAAGCTAAAACGAACAGTGATCAAGTCGAACTGATTACGTTGGGATAGACTTATTTCATATTACGTGTAGCAATTAAGTCTAACCCGCACGTACAAGTGTCCAGCGGTTGTTGCCTTTAAGACTTCCGGTTTTTAGGCATTTCCGTTTCCGTTCGAATTGAAATTTTTTCAGTTCAATTTCGATGCATGCATTGTTCGATGTAATTACCGAATTTTCGAATTTGATGTTGAAGATGAAAGTGAGTTTGGTAATTTGAAATACAAAATGTTTAAATTCAAAGTCAATGCACGTGTTTAGACCTTCGAATTTTATATTGGAGTTCAATGCAAAGCATTTCGACATGGATCACTTGGTTTTTCCATTTTCAAAGTGATTCTTTTTTTGATATATTTTTGTCCACGAATGTACGGCATAGAGCTGCGTACCTTCGTCCAGCTGCATCGATTTGAAACCTGAAGCTCATCGCTGTCAAGCTTCTTTGACCTTCACGACCCCTTCGGCAAAAAAAAGGACTGTCGAGTTCTTGGGTTCGGTAATATTGCGATTGAGAGTTATACTCATGGACGCAGAGCTCTGGTCATGCACAAGACTATAATCAACTCAATTATCATTACACAGGAATCATACCTAAATGGGGATACGGGTATCACTTGATTACATTCTAGATTAACAGATCACCTGTGTGCAGCATGCATTCGTACAGCATAAGAATATTAATTAGCTAAGGTAAATGATTAACTAAAACACTACGAGGACAACAA